GGCAGAACTTGCAGTGACAGCAGGGCTGTGAATTCTGCTCATCTGCAGGTTCAACCCACATCACCCAGGCAGGTGCCCACAGGGAAGTACTGGGCTTCCAGTACTTGCTGCTCAGGCGCAGGCAGGGACACCCTTGTGGGCACCACCTGTAGCCTGGCAGCTGGGCAGTTCTCAGTGGCCCTTTCCAAGCACGGAGCAGGAGCATGGAGGGGTGTCAGCGGGGCAAGGTGTTGGGCCTTATTCACTTGAAGTGGCAGTTAATTTGCATGGGCGTCAGAAGTGCGGGGATTACTGTTGTTGCTGCCCTTTCATTTAGTTTTTATGGTCACTGCAGAGGTGGGGGGTTACTTCGTACAGACCAGAGGAAGCCATGCTCACACTCAGGCCTTGGACTTGGGGCTCTGTGCTTCTCCTGTGTACGTGTCATCCTGGCTGTAGCTCTGTACCTGTGCTGGAAGCACCAGGCTGTGTGGGCCTCCAGCCCCATCACTGACTCGGGCCTTGTCTTGGACCCTCCATTAGCCACCTGTGCCCTGACTAGTGATGTGACTGATTTCCTTATCAGCATGGGAGGCAGACATGGGAGGGCTGGCAAGTTTTGCTGTTGAGCACCATTAAAAAATACCTGTGAATGCCTGGAACAGGGTGTAGGAGCAGGTGTCTTGCTCACAAGAAGATGATCCCTCAGAGGCGGCTGGGCCAGATTTGTAAGTGCTGGTGGAAGCTGTGTTCTTCCCAGTCACCTGCAGGATTTGGGCTTTTTTCTGATCAGCCTGGGGCATCTTGGACCCAGGTGCAGACCATCGCTGGCAAAGCAGTTGGCAGTGTTTGCAGATCCTGCAGTAGGGTGCTCTCGGTTCTGAGGGGGAGGGCCGGTCCGTGGTGCCAGGAGCACTAAGCTCACTATTGGGAAGGGAGGACTAGTCGCTGCAGGATGTATACAGGACTGCCAGCCCCGGAGACAAGCCCCTCGTGGGCTGAGTGCTTCTGAAAGGGTGTGGCTGTGAAGGTGGGAGGACTCGCACTGGCCACTTACAGTGTGGGCGAGGGAGCTGGGAATGTATGGGACTGCGGGGATTACCGTTGCTGCTGCCATTTCATTTCCAGCCCCAGGAGGTCAGCACAGGTTGCTGTCACATGGCTCCTCTTTCCTATAGAATAATTGTGTATAGGCTCTCATTTTTACAAAAGCACATTTCGGCACTCACAAGATCATATGATTCTTTCGTTGGTTTCAAAGAGTACTTGTAAGAGAAGTCTGTCCTCTGGAGATAAGTTTCCTCATAAATATCTGCATAACCTTATTTAATAAGCAAGCTGTTTCTCACAGCGCTGGATGGGGTAATGTTCCTTTTCTCTTCTCATCTATCTAAATACCTTTTCTCAAGTTATTTAAATGTGCATTTTGTCCTCCTGTCGTCTTTGGTGATAAAGTGAGTTTCTGCCTCATGTGAAATTTCATGTCTTTGAGGTATTTTCCACCAGCTGCTTCTACTTAGCTAAGTCCATTTTACTAGATTCTCATATTTTTTTTAATTTTAAAATCTCTTTAATTTCTAAAACTCCAAAGAGTTTAGAGAGGATAGAAACAAGATGACATATGAATGCTATTTTTTAAAAGTCAGTATATTCTGTCCTTTTCTCTGCTATTTTGACTGTTTCTTTCTAGCCTCTAGGTTACACTCTGAATCCTCAGTTACCTGTGTACCTGCTGCCCCCCTTCCTGCCCCCCACCTGCTGCCTCCCAGGTGTCCTCTGTGCACCTCAGAGTCTACTTTTCCCTTCCTCTGACTCTGAGGGAGCTCCTTGCCTAGCAATTCTAATTAATACAGAAATAACCAATTTTTGTAATGGTTCTTTAGCTGAGTGTTTTTGGATTCTGGACTGTGACCCATTATTAGATGGTGAAGGCGTTGTCGGGAGACACATCCACATAAAGGAATATGTCTGTTCATCTCATAGTGAGGGCTTAGTTGTGCATGAGGGCAGGTGTGTGCATTCTGAAAGCTGGTTTGTATGTTATAGTTTTAAACATGTTTGAAAGCCCCTGCAGTATTCTAACATACTGCAAAGCTTTTATGGAAGTCCTGCTGTTTGTAATTTGTCTCTGGTCGAATGGTTTTGTGCCTTGGGAAGATTGTCCGAAGGCAAGGTGGAGCCCACCCAGCGAGTCCTGTTGCAGATGTTCTCCTGTCAAAGGAAAGGGCCCCAGCTGGGCACCTCCACGGAAGCTCATATAGTCTTTGCTATTTCTGTGAAGTCTCAAAGGCTTTCTCCTAGTTTATTTGTACTCATTATGTCAAATCTCAGCTCAGTCACCCCTTCAGCACAGAACCTTCCTGAGCACCCTGTTCTGGACAAGCCTCTGTTCGATGGTTCCACAGAACAGTGCTTCTCGTCATCAGGGCACTTAGCTCAGGTTCATTAATACGTTTATTAGTATGGTCATTTGGTTCCTGTCTGTCTCCCGTCACCTAGGATGTGAACTCCGCAGGGTTGGTCTTGGGCCTGTTTTCGGTCAGTTGTCCCTGCGGGACGATGTGTGGCATAGTCAACGCCGGTGTACGCCGGAGGCTTGGGGCTTAGTTGCCCCACATTGATTGATATTAGACATCTTGCAGAACCCTATGCTGTAATCATGTGTTATTCCAGAAATGGGGTGGCGATCTCAGAGCACAAAGAGGGATACCGGTCGGAACATAGTCGAAGCCCTGGGAGTTCGGCAGAGGCCTTGTCCTGCGACCACTGCTGCCCTTGCACACAGACCACTCCAGCCAGAGCCCTCGTACCTTCCTCCCCAGCACCCCAGGGAAGCAGCAGCAGGGCAGGGGCAGGATCACAAGATGAGGTGCCTTTTGGGGGGCGATCTCCTCTCTGGCTCTGTAACGGGTGGGGGTGGGGCCCACCGCGGTTCCTTGTTCCATAGTTCCAGGTTCCTCAGTGCAGTCCATGCATATTTGGGACATTAAACAAGTTCATTAAAACCAGCTCATTTGACTTGTGTCATACGTGTTGCTGGTGTAGATTTTGTCAGAGATTGTCCCGACTCCGTTTGTGTCAGTCTGGAGGAGCTGCAGGTGGTGAGGAGGAGGGTCTGCATGCTCTGCAGCCTGGCGCCGGGTGAGGGTGGGGGCTGTCTTCTCATCTTTGAAGAGAGAGGGTAAAGGCGGGAAGATGGGAGAGACAAGGGAGGATCTGTCAGCATTTTTATGGTTGTCTTTGCATGGTGAACATGTTTCCAATAAGGTGTTTGAGAAATATTTTAGGTAGAAGAAAATGCTACCCCTTTGACTGGCTTCCATAGCCCGACACGGATCAGAGGCGTGCTGTCGGCCGGGACCAGGAGTGTGGGTGGTGGAACTGATTTCCTATTTGAAAGGCCAGGCTTCTGTGACTCTTAGTATCATTTCTACTGCAACCAGTTGTGATGAGATGGGGGTTTTGACCTCATAGGACAATTACTATAGGAAGCAGATGAGTTTTTATTTAGAAATTTACGCTTTAGTTTCAAACAAATCACAATTAACCGAATCTCAGTTTCCTTATCTCTGAAGTAGAGGACGGAACGCGATCGTGTGCAGGGGACTTCTGTGGGGAGGGCGTGTGGAGGCGCACACCCTGTCCTGTTGCCGTGTGGTCAGTCCCAGCTGAACAGCCCTGGATTGACTAGCGGCACCCTCTCTCCCAACTGTCCTGTAGCTGCTGGCAGCTCTGCCTCCCCCTCGGACCTGGTTCTGACTGCTGAGCTCCCTCAACATTATTCTAGTTGGCTCCGAAATGGCACCCCGCAGGGTCTTTGCACGGCAGTGCGCCGAGCTCGCCCTGACAGTGGTGCACCTGCCCCCGCTGCACCTCCTCCTGGTGGAGTGGCCTTGGCAGCCTCCCTGCCCTTCACCAGCCTCACATTTATTTGTTCACTTTACAGCCACTGGGGATTGTAGGAGCTTCATGGTGAACAGGATAGTTATTATTGTTTTTTTTTCTTTTTCTTTTATTCCAAATTTGTTTGTATCATGGCCATCAAGTCCTCATGAAAAAACTTAATTTCAGAGGATGAATAACTTGTCCAAGATCTTCTAGGTAGCAAAAGTGCTAAGAAGTGATTAATGGAAAGCTAGGATTGACACCAAGTTGTGAATTTTCTCTTTGCCCCTAACCGTCTTCCCTTCTACCTTTTTTCCTGTTTGGGCATCACCACCTTGCTGGTTCCTCTGGGTCTGCCTTTGTGTGCCACTGCCTCTGCCCCAGGTCCCTGTTTGAGACCCTGCAGAGCTGCAGTGTGTTCTTGGAGAACCTGGCACTCGGCTCTCGAGAGTGACAGCATCTGAGGGGTCCAGGACAGCGGGTCAGTGCATGGTCAGGCTGCCTGATGTCCAGGAAGAGAGCAAGTACAGCATGTGTGTCGGGGATGGCCAGGCTCCTGCTGTGAGAGTGCAGGCTGCTCACTTCTCCCTGCAGGCTGCTCACTTCTCCCTGCAGGCTCAGGTGTGGTAACAGCTGCAAGAAGGACACCTAAAGTGAATTCACCGAGGGAGGGTTGGTATCCTGTTCTTTGGGGATGTTTTTTGTATAAACATTTATTTTTGTGTTAGCTGGTGTCACAGGATGTGATACTTTGTTTAATTTGTGTGTTATCTTTTCCATCTGACCTGAGATGCTTTTTGGCATTATCATAATCCCTAGAAAAGATAAGCAGAGAACATCTCCTTTTATAGAGTATGGAAATGGTGCCGTAGTCATGGGTACTTGATCCTGCTTTGTGTGCTGGTTGGATGCCTGCACTTCATGCCTTTAACCTTTATGTTGGAAACCGCAAATGTTCAGCTCCCTGTTCTCAGGCTCACAGATATGATTCTGCTTGCTCAGGGTGTTTGTCGTTTAAAATGATCAGACTATGGCTGTGGGCATTATTTCTTGAGTTCACACTTACTGCACTGTCTGTGATGAGCATTCTGGTCACATTTTTCCCATTCTCATATTTTCTGCTTTACATTTTTTAGGGAAAGTACGGTGGCCAGACTTTAACCAAGAAGCATACGTTGGCGGGACTATGGTCCGCTCTGGGCAGGACCCCTATGCCCGCAACAAGTTCAACCAAGTGGAGAGTGACAAGCTGCGAATGGACAGAGCCATACCTGACACCAGACATGACCAGTGAGTACCTAAGTCAGCGTCACTGGGTGGCTTCACCTGCTTTCACAAAAGCCAGGGCACTTTTCTGTGTCACTCTGGAGTTTTCCCTTTGCTCTGAGAGCCTGAACACGCATGTGTCTGTACAGTGTCATAAAACTGCAAGTCCTGAGCCATGTGGCCATCAGTGGACCTTCACTCCCAGGACGTGAAGAACGGTTCTGGACCAGGTTCTGGCCTCCAGGACCCCATCCTCCCCTTAGTCCCACCTCCCCCGACAGTGTGCAGGGACTGTGGGTTGCTGGCCAAAGTGTGGGAGCCCGAGAGAAAGTTATGTTGCTGACCTCATTGTTGATACCGGAATTTCGTCTTCAGTAGGTTCTTGGTCTTGGTGATTCAAAGAATGAATCCGCAGACCACAGATCAGTGGTAAGACCGAATTTATTTACAGAAAAGAATACAAAAAACACCCAGGCTCCTGGCAGGGAGAGAAAACCCAAGTCCAGAGAGAAAAGTTCTCTCTCTGTCTCTGTCTGTCTGTCTCCAGGCTCTTTGTCTAGGGGTCTATACAGTCGCATGGGACCCTCTGTAGTTACATTTAGCGTGTCTCGGACATGAATGAATGGCTACAACCCTGTTCATTCCCAGGTGTAGACAACTGACATGAAATTGACCAGGTCTAGAAAATGGGGGTTCCCTGTTCGGCCATAAGTGCAAGGGGAGGGAAACCTAAGGTGCTGGTGTCTCCCCAACAGTTATCTGGCCCCTCCAGCTACTGTAGCCTCCTGCGGGGGTGTCCCCTGTCTCCTCTCCAGCCTGCTGGTTCCTGTTCTTGCTGCCACTACACCAGCACCGCCAAGGTGGAGGCAGCCGGTCCAGCTCCACCAAGCTGGCTGGCTGCCTCGTGTCCGGTATCATTATCACTTGTTACTTTTAAGATCTGTTCGCAAAAATAAACTTTTCCATATTCACAACCTTGGAAGGAAAAAATCTAAATTCCTGCTTACTGGGATGCTGAAGGTAGAAACATTCCAGAGACTAGAAAGGGGAGTCACCTGGCTGGCAGAGGACACAGAAGGGACAGGTGACGCCTGTCCATGCCTTGTACTAAGAGACTGTCTCTGTCCACATCCTTTTTCTTTTCCTTCTTTATAGATCTGGGACTTATGGGTAGATGCCCCCTGGGATCTGCCGGGCTCAGCTCAGGAGGTGCACAGGCATTTTAAAGAGTATTTGTCACCACTTAGCAGAAGAGCCGTGTTCACAACTTTTACTGTCACTCTGTACCTTCAGTCCTTGCCGATGAGAACCTTGATTGGGAGGTGTTTCACCTTGGCATTCTTAGTGGGTTGGTCTCATTTCTGATTATTAAAAATAAGGAGCTACATACACTTTGAAGGCAGCTGTTTTCCTGCTACTTTTAGAGTTTTTAATTTGTCAGGGAGAGGAACATGAGTATCTGCCAAGTATCAGGCTCTGTGCTTGATTCTGGACCCACTGGGAAGTGAGGTGAGCAGCTCCTAGGCTGGAGGAGCTGCTTCACATGAAAACTTGGGACCCAGAAGGTGGGAGGGTGAGGAAAGTGCAGAAGCTACATCCTGGGTCGAGGGCTTCCTGGAGAAGGCAGCGATTGCTGGGCGTGACTTTCAGGGAGTTATAAGGAGACCAAGACGAGAGGGACAGTGTATATTCACACACGCTGTTTTGTTTTATAGGTTAATAGCATAATTCAAAAGAGGCTTTTTCTCATCTCTCCTACTTTGAGGGAACTTTATGGATAGTGAGGTCCCTGCTGCCTGCAGGGGTACCTCTCTGAATCCCTTTCTCTGGGTTCCAGCCAGCTGTGTTCACTCCTAGCAGCTCATGTGTAAGAAGTGTGTTTCTCATGGGCATGAACACACAGTACATCTGAGCATGCATCGTAGATCATGTTCAGTCTCTCACAGTTCTTATAGAGCCACTCCAGAAGATTGCCTTTAATTAATGTTTACTATTGTCTGTTAATTTCTTTGTTGAAGGCAATTTCATTTATTCAGTCTGTAGGCTGTGCTACTGGTTAACTGCTAAATACTGTGTCTAAAATAAGGGTTTAGCTGGATGTTGTGGTGGGCAAGCACCTATAGACCCAGCTACTAGGAGTCTGAGGCAAGAGAATTGCTTGAGCCCAAGAGTTTGAGGTTGCTGTGAGCTACAACGGTACAGCACTCTACAGAGAGTGACAAAGTAAAATGCTGTCTCAAAAAAAAAAAAAAAAGAAAAACAAATGGAGTGCTGACCTGGTATCTAAGGGCCCAGCTGAGCAACACATGGGCTTGGGATTCCTTAGAAGTCTCGAAGCCAGAGCTTTGTGTGGTCACAAACGTGTACATGGGAACATTCCCCTGGAAAGCTGTGTGGGTCGTGGGCATATGCACGTGAACATTCCCAGGGAAAGCTGTGTGTATGGTTGCCAGTGTGTAC